TCTATAGATATAATATATATATATATCTATAGATATACAGATATATATATATATCTATAGATATACAGATATATATATATATATCTATAGATATACAGATATATATATATATATATATCTATAGATATACAGATATATATATATATCTATAGATATACAGATATATATATATATCTATAGATATACAGATATATATATATATATCTGTATATCTATAGATATATATATATATCTGTATATCTATAGATATATATATATATCTGTATATCTATAGATATATATATATATCTGTATATCTATAGATATATATATATCTGTATATCTATAGATATATATATATATCTGTATATCTATAGATATATATATATCTGTATATCTATAGATATATATATATATCTGTATATCTATAGATATATATATATATCTATAGATATACAGATATATATATATATATATCTATAGATATACAGATATATATATATATATCTATAGATATACAGATATATATATATATCTATAGATATACAGATATATATATATATCTATAGATATACAGATATATATATATATCTATAGATATACAGATATATATATATATATCTATAGATATACAGATATATATATATATATCTATAGATATACAGATATATATATATATATCTATAGATATACAGATATATATATATATATCTATAGATATACAGATATATATATATATATCTATAGATATACAGATATATATATATATATATCTATAGATATACAGATATATATATATATATATCTATAGATATACAGATATATATATATATATCTATAGATATACAGATATATATATATATATCTATAGATATACAGATATATATATATATATCTATAGATATACAGATATATATATATATATCTATAGATATACAGATATATATATATATATCTGTATATCTATAGATATATATATATATATCTGTATATCTATAGATATATATATATATATCTGTATATCTATAGATATATATATATATATCTGTATATCTATAGATATATATATATATATCTGTATATCTATAGATATATATATATATATCTGTATATCTATAGATATATATATATATATCTGTATATCTATAGATATATATATATATCTGTATATCCATAGATATATATATATATATCTGTATATCTATAGATATATATATATATCTGTATATCTATAGATATATATATATATATCTGTATATCTATAGATATATATATATATATCTGTATATCTATAGATATATATATATATCTGTATATCTATAGATATATATATATATATCTGTATATCTATAGATATATATATATATCTGTATATCTATAGATATATATATATATCTATAGATATACAGATATATATATATATCTATAGATATACAGATATATATATATCTATAGATATACAGATATATATATATATCTATAGATATACAGATATATATATATCTATAGATATACAGATATATATATATATCTATAGATATACAGATATATATATATATCTATAGATATACAGATATATATATATATCTATAGATATACAGATATATATATATATCTATAGATATACAGATATATATATATATATCTGTATATCTATAGATATATATATATATCTGTATATCTATAGATATATATATATATCTATAGATATACAGATATATATATATATCTATAGATATACAGATATATATATATATATCTATAGATATACAGATATATATATATATCTATAGATATACAGATATATATATATATATATATATATATCTATAGATATACAGATATATATATATATATCTATAGATATACAGATATATATATATATATATCTATAGATATACAGATATATATATATATCTATAGATATACAGATATATATATATATATCTATAGATATAGATATATATATATATCTATAGATATACAGATATATATATATATATCTATAGATATACAGATATATATATATATATCTATAGATATACAGATATATATATATATATCTATAGATATACAGATATATATATATATATATCTATAGATATACAGATATATATATATATATCTATAGATATACAGATATATATATATATATCTATAGATATACAGATATATATATATATCTATAGATATACAGATATATATATATATATCTATAGATATACAGATATATATATATATCTATAGATATACAGATATATATATCTATATAAATATAGATATCTATATACAGATATCTATATCTATAGATATACAGATATCTATAGATATACAGATATCTATATAGATATACAGATATCTATATAGATATACAGATATCTATATCTATAGATATATGTATAGATTTAGATATATCTATACATATATGTATATCTATAGATATACAGATATCTATATATCTGTATACATATATCTATATAGATATATGTATCTATATAGATATATGTATATCTATAGATAT